ACTATTTGTCGGTCTCATTTACCCCACCCATAAAACCTATATTACAATAATTCCCATAGTTCAGGAGTTCTTGCTTGCCATTTTCTCAGTGGGATAACACATCCGATTGTCACCAAATGTCCAATCGTAAAACATAAAACGTCGTTTAGGCTGAAGAGGCAGTCTCTACACATGACCATTTAAATAAATTGTAATTTCGGGTCATGGAAAACAGAAAGTGAGATATAAGGAAAAGATTCCAAGCACGAAGACCCTGGAAAGTATCGGCGTGTCACACCGAAGCAGAGGAAACTGCGACGGAGCAGTCACCTTACAAAGATGAACGCCGAGTGTCAAACTAATAGTCCTTTCTGCAACGACGTCGCTATGTTTATCGCAAACAAGGCGGCCAAAATAGACGATTTAAAGGCAGTGTAAAGACCTTCCCCATTTACCTACAAGTCTGTCATGAAAACGGGGAATGTCTAGCAAAAGCTCAGCGAGCTTGACACATTGATGAGAATGTGTCGAGGCACCATACTATCTTGCCTTTCCCTACCTGTTCCTCATTCTTGAACTTACTGGTTGTTTAACTGAATGGAAGGAACACAACACTACGCAACGCGCTTGGCATGTGTTGGATTGTCAGGTCGTTTGACTTTTTACTGTTGCTTCTTTCATAACTCTGGTCTTATCCTGATATTCGCAGTCTGGGATTGACGGTTCTGTCTTTAGCGCTCGCGACAGTGGTTACCTTTTGACGTTCGCGCTTATACCCTTAATTTGTTGACTTTCTATTTGCATACCGTCCGTTTGCCTTCCTTCTTTCTACCATCATGACTTCTACGAATTCCAACACTGCCACTCCTTCACTCAGTGGACTTGTTTCTTCTCCCCCAGACTTTTGGCAACATGCGCCAGTTGGTTGAGGCCCTTCCCCCGACTATTCTTTCCCAAGTGCAGACGTTTTTAAGAGATCCCCCGACTAATGCTCCCTACACCAAGTTAAAGGCTGAACTTCTTCGCCTGACATCAGTCTCCGATCGGCAGCGTTATCACGCTCTGGTAAAAGAGGAAGCCTTAGGTGATCGCAAGCCGTCGGAACTCTTGCGTCGTATGCGTTCTCTTGTTGGGAACATGACAATCGACGACAAGTTCTTTAAAGAGATGTTCTTAGAACGTCTGCCGACGTTGGTACAAGCAATTTTGGCCTCTGGCTCCGACGGCCTAGACATATCAAAGTTAGCGGCGATGGCTGACCGTATGATGGAGGTTGAGCGTTTGTCATCCACGACGATTGCTCAAGTGTCCCAGCCTCTCACCGTGTCCACCTCTGACTTGACTGAATTAAAGTCACAGATTGCCCAGTTGTCAGCGACTGTTGCCGCTTTGCAGCTGCGCCGATCCCCCGGGCCCTCTCGACGTTCCTTCGGCCGTGACCGTTGTCGCTCACGCTCTCGCCCCAGGACCGCTAACCCATGTTGGTATCATGTCAACTATGGCGATTAGGCGCGGCGCTGTGTCCCACCCTGCTCCTTCAAGTCCACGCAGGGAAGCTCGTCGCCCGGAGAGTAAATGCGGCCGAGCTCTCTGGCAACTCCACGT